CGCCATTTCAACATTTGCATTAAAATAATTAATTTCAATACTAAGATACATAAAACATCAACAAATCTATCATGCATAAGATTTTTTTATTCTTCAGTATGTTAGATATATCAAAATGTTTCCTTGAGGTGCTTATAATACCCGACTCTACACTATATTATTTACTAATTCATTAATTAAATAATATGCTATTAATACACACACACACACACACACACACACACACACACACACACACACACACACACACACATATATATATATATTGTACAATATATACACAATATATGCATTAGGGAAAAGTGAGGTAATTGTGCGCATTTTAATTTAGCACTTTTCCGATAAATGGAGCCGCTATCGCGGTGAAATTTCTCAACGTATTTTTTTTCAAATAGTCGACAAACTAAAAATAACATAATATCAATGTTATAATTCTGTATATTCCACAATATAAATTTAATATAACTTACAGTGTTACATAACAGGCCAAGGAACATATCAAGTTTAAAAGAAAGTCAAAATAACATACTTTGATGTCAAAATAATGACTTTTTTGTTAGAAAATTTGGCTGTTTAGCAATTTTAAGCATCAAAATGAAGTTATTTTGATATCATTTTGATTTTTTGTATGTTTCTTAAAAGTTATATTGTAGGATGCGAAATTATAATACTGATATTATGTTACTTTTAGTTTGTATCGATTGAATGATTTCATTACTGCCTGTGTTCACAGTTTAAAAGAAAGTCAAAATAACATACTTTGATGTCAAAATAATGACTTTTTTGTTAGAAAATTTGACTGTTTAGCAATTTTAAGCATCAAAATGAAGTTATTTTGATATCATTTTGATTTTTTGTATGTTTCTTAAAAGTTATATTGTAGGATGCGAAATTATAATACTGATATTATGTTACTTTTAGTTTGTATCGATTGAATGATTTCATTACTGCCTGTGTTCACAGTTTAAAAGAAAGTCAAAATAACATACTTTGATGTCAAAATAATGACTTTTTTGTTAGAAAATTTGACTGTTTAGCAATTTTAAGCATCAAAATGAAGTTATTTTGATATCATTTTGATTTTTTGTATGTTTCTTAAAAGTTATATTGTAGGATGCGAAATTATAATACTGATATTATGTTACTTTTAGTTTGTATCGATTGAATGATTTCATTACTGCCTGTGTTCTGAATGAATCCATGAAGATGCAATGGAGCTGAGAATTATATTTTGGTTTAAATAATTAATTTTTCCAATTTTTGTATTATTTTTTTCAAAGTTTATATTAATTTTATATTAATATTAGTATAATAATATATTTTTTCATTATTTCATCACTGTTCCATGAAACTTTTTCCATGAAATATTTATTTTATTAATTTTATATTAATTTCTTACGATTTTTGCTTTGCGCACAATTACCCGACGCGCAAAACATTTTTCGCTTTTACTTTTTTTTATGAAATATTATATTACTAAATGGAAAATTGTTTAATATAAAAATGCATATTGATAGAAGAATATTTATAGTTTGTATTTCCGTGCTTATATTAACTTCAATTTAAAAAATCACATGACAGCAATAAATTCCTCTTAAGTGTGCACAATTCCCTGCTTTTCCCATATGTATATATATGTACACATATACACACACATGCGCGCGCGCGCATTGTATCCAAATAGCCAAATGAGTCCAAGATACCGTCATATCACTGTCAGCCGTTACAATAGATATGTCAACAAACTAGAGACAAGATGTTTCCTCATTATGTATGAAATTTTCTCTTGAATTCTAAATTTGATAATAGCAAGTTGATAGCATCTTGTGACATATAAAACGTTAGATATACGTGCTGTTAGTTTGTCGTTATGTTGCCGGCACGATACTGTATATGAGATGCAAGTTCATCATGTACCGTTATTTTGTTATTAACATGAAGTGTTATTAATCCTCAATGTTTGCCCTCGAAATTTCATAAACTGCAGATAATGTTTATTTTATACTCCTATGTTGCTAACTCAGTTTGCACATAAAATTTCGATATCAGCAAATTGACGGCAACTGCTATACATTAGTTTATCGAATATGCTAAATCACGCTTGGCTGTCTGCATATATACAGGATGTCTCAAATTTAAGTGGCCAAATTTGTAGCGTGTGAAGAATCAATATAAAGGGTGCCCCAAAATTAACGCAAGATTTGAATTAAATAGAAAACACAGTTTTTAGTCTTTTGATTGTTATTTTTTTATTGAATCATAAAGTACATAGGATAGGGTTATTTGTGGAATAACACACCGGGCAAATGGCCTCCACGGCTTTGCATGCACATACGCACTCGTTTGTCGAAATTTTCCATGACCATTTTGCATAAATGTGGCTGAATTTCGTTGATGCAGCGTTGAATCTCCTCCTTTAATGCACGGGTGGTTGTGGGCTTGTTGACATAGACCTGTGATTTCAAATAACCCCATAAAAAGAAATCTAATGGTGTTAAATCACACGATCTAGGGGGCGATTTTGGCGATTAACAAAGCCATCAAGGTGAAAATGTGCTTCATCGCTTAGAATGATTTTGCTCGAAAAATCAGCATCCATTTGTTGATGTTCAATAATCCATTTTCACGCTCCATTTTCACTAACCCTAAACTGTCAGCTGTTAAATTTTTTTTTTTTTGGGTTGCCAACACTTTACTACACAAATGACGGCAAATTCAAATCTTGCGTTAATTTTGGGACACCCTTTACAAGATGTTTCTTAAATAGCGGACACTATAATCATATAGAGTTATTTCTAATTAAAAATTGAATCGAAAAGTCCTCTACAATTTTGCAATTTTCGCAATGATTGACAAAATATTAATTTTTTAATATTGTCGAATAAGCGAGTATCCAGCTGCCCAATCAACTATCACGAAAATTGCAAAATGGTAGAGGACTTTTCGACTCAATTTTTAATTATATTTTTTAATTAATAACCCTGTATAAACTAAGAAAAAATCCTTTAGAGATATTGACTTTGTTTTGGAAAAGTCGCAAAAAAGACAAAACGTAATTTTTGGAATATTATTATTTTCAAAGTATATTATTGTTTCTGTGTACGACTTCAACGATAATACTGCTAGATTCAGTGAGAGAGTATGCGCTCCAATTTTCAAACAGAAAAGTACCGAATCGACGAGTCGTTACATTGACCAGATCAATGTTTGGCAACACGAACTGTCCGTACAAATGCAATTGCTGCAAGAGACCAACATTTTGAACAATATTTGTATTAATCAAGTGACAACATAAATAAATAAGTATGAATGAATAATAATTAATAAATAAGTACAAAGATGAAAACATTTTATCTTTTTTTGCTAATTTTTTCAAAACGAAACAAAAACGAGTCTCTAAAAAACTTTTTCTCTTAGTTTATCGATCGTCTATACGCTCCCGAAGAGAGAGTTTAGCCACTTAAAATTCGAGACATCCTGTATGTGGGTATGTGTACATGTATATGTATACTTATAAATATACATACGAGGTCTGGCTATTAAATAACGAGACTGCTTATGAAAAAGAGTTTTATTTTTAAAATTATTCTACAATTGAATGCTCCCCTTCAATGTACTCCCCTCCCCTCGCCACACACCGTTCCATTCGTTTTTTCCATTGATCAAAGCAATGCTGGAAGTCTTCTTTTGTAAGAGCATTTAGGAGCTCCGCCGATTTTCGCTTCACCTTTTCCATCGAACCGGGTTCCTTTTAAGGCAGACTTGATCTTCGGAAACAGGAAAAAGTCACAGGGTGCTAAATCAGGCGAGTGTTCGAGCACTGGAGTGCCTCTAGCGGCTAAATAACGCTTCACAGCTTTTGGTTAGGGGTTAAATTTTTTGGGACCAACTTCGCACAGACTTTCTTCATGTTTAATTCGTCATGTAAATTTTTCTGACAGTTTCTTTATCGGCGTTTACAATCTCAGCAATCATCCGAATGCGACGATCTCCGCGCACAATTTCATTGATGACACAAGTCGACACAAGCGTCATTCTATCCTTCGTGACATTCAGAGAGTAACAAAGATAGAATCACACTTGTATCAACTTGTGTTATCAAATGGAAAGCACCCTACACATACACACACACATATATGATTTAAGGTGGTTCGGGGAGACGTTATTATATTAGCGCTATTTGTGTCATTTTATCCTTGTTTTACATCTAATAAACAACGAAGATAGAATGACAGACTACTATAATAGTGTCTCCCCGAACACACCAATAGTATATGTAGATTGCTGAATACAATCACACTATTCATTGGGCCGCTTTCAATTTGGCTCATAATGTTTTTTGTTTTGTATTTGAAATATAAAATTACACGAAGAAAAAGAACTATGTGTTGAGGAAATCATTCAAAGTTATAGTTAATCGTTATTTTTCAGTGAGAATTGGACAATCTGTAAATTCTCATATAAATCATGAATGAACTTTTGAAATTTTGGTCTTTTTTCATCCTTCTTATCTCTTAAGAGAAAGTTGTTATTTTTTGCTAAAAATCAAGACAAAAGATGAAGATGAGAATAATGACTTTAATAAAACATCTGTTTTATATACTTATGTATTATACTTATCTATTATTTTGTGTAAAATTTATATGGAGAATACGTTACATTCAATAAAAAATAATATTTTTCATTTACAAACAGTAGTTTGTAAATGAAAAAAACTTAAAGTTAGCCATTTATTTTGTCCGAAATTCTTGCAGGTATGGCACATTGTACACACAAATAACTTAACATGGCTAGCTTCATGTCTTCTCATTCTTTCTCATGCCTTTTTCGCATTCCTTCTCCGATCTCTTGCAACTTCATGTGTTAATTACATTTGTAACGCCGTATGTATAGTCATCAACTAAAAGGTTGCAACACTTTTTTCTCAATGGATTTCTACATTCAGTCTTGCTCATAGAACGATCGAATCTAAATAGTTAGATCTATAAGTAAGAAACAATCATTCAGTGAACAAGCTGTATTTCGAAACCCAATCAGAAAAAAATGTTGCAATCTTTTAATTGATGAGTGTACACACACACACGCGCGCGCGCGCGCGCGCACACGCCACGCACACGCACACACATCAACTAAAAGATTGCAACTTTTTTCCGATTGGGTTTCGGATTTATTAGATAACAATATTACAATTAACAATTTATAGGCAATTGTCTGTTAATATTGAGATATTGCTATAAAATCTCTCTCTCTCTCTCTCTCTCTCTCTCTCTCTCTCTCTCTCCCCCTACCTCCCTTACTTCCTTTTCTCTTATTTCTTTCCATTTATGAAATATAAAAGTTTATTAAATCGATTAACGCCTATTTATGGAAGTTTATCATTTTTTTAGATGGACGCATCAATAACGTTATCGTTAATATTATTTATTTTATTTACAGGTTGGTCCAGCCGGCGCACATTTCGCTCTGCTTGCCACGCTGGTGGTCGAAGTACTGCATTGCTGGCCGATGCTGAAGCACCCGCGTCGCGCATTATCTAAGCTGATCCTGATTCTATTGGGACTATTGACGCTGGGTATCCTGCCATGGATAGATAATTACGCGCATCTATTTGGCTTTATCTTCGGCTTTTTGGCGGCCTACGCACTGATGCCCTTTATCTCATTTGGCCATTACGACCGTAGACGGAAGATCTTATTGATTTGGGTCTGCATGATTCTGATTGTGGGCCTGTTCGCCTTGTTACTCGCCCTCTTTTACAACGTACCAGTGTACGAGTGTGAAGTGTGCAAACTGTTCAATTGCGTGCCGTTCACCCGTGACTTTTGCGCCTCCCAGAACATCAATTTCAAACGAGAGGAGCCAGTATGACATACGGAGCCGTGGTTCACAGTCGAGCGTGGAATAATTCCGCTCGTTCCCCGACTTTACGCTCCTCATCGTCGCACGCATCATTACAATATTATGCCATTACCATTCGCCGTGCTCGTTCTGACGACGCTTTTCGTAGACTCCCAAAAACACGATTGAAGCCATAAGATTGATCGGAGCTGAATGAAAAAAGATTTTTTTGTTAACCACAGTTTAAAATCTTCAAAATCGTCGAAAGTCTTAATACGAAGTTGCAGAAGAAGATTCTTTAATAACAGTCAGAAAAGATTTGTCGAATTTTTAAGAAATATCTTCAAAAAAATATGGATTTTTTTTTTTTTTTTTGAAGAAATTAAACGCAGAATTGTTGAGAAAGCTAAATGTAATGAATTTTTGGGGGATTTCTAAAGAAATTGGAAGAAAGTCAATAAAAATTTTCCCTAATTCTAATTGGAAGAAATATCAGAAAAAAAATCGTTTCTTCAATTTTCAAGAAGAAACGAAAGAAAAAAATTAATAAATGTATTCCTTCATAGAAAAACAAAGAAATGGAAAGAAATCTCGTACGAAAAATCCTGAATTTCTAAACAAACTAAAAAAGAAGGACAATTCATCTCTTTGATAAAACTGAAAGAAAAATGAAAAATAAACGTTTTGTTAGCCCTCAATCAATATTTAATGATCTCATCGAGTTTCGAGGATCATCAGATTGGCGTTATCCTAGTTGCAAAATTGTGGACCGCAAACTTGAAGATAATCTTATTACTTAAAAACTCTCTCTGCACTTCCATAACACTATTCGACATAACACTTATTCACCGAGCTTCTGAAATTTCGCAAACTCAAGTCTACCTTCAAAGTTCTAGAGTTTCCGAATTTGTCTAACTTTGAAAATTCCACGATCATTTTTCGATCGTTCTTATTAAGAGTGATATCATGGTGCGTTCGGGTATATGGGAGTTTGATAGTGCCTGGATCGAGCGGGTGAAGGTGATGGATCCCGACCGACATTTTCGCTACTGCCAACGAACGTTAGAGAGGAACTCGTGTTCGTCGATACGCACGACGATGCCTTAACATTATTAAGTCCCAGCGTAGTGAGTGGCTCCCGATGTGAGCTGGCTGGGGCCCAGCGGGCCTTGAGGGAGCCCAGAACTCTAAATCGCCGACGGAGTGTAAATATATACGCGGGTCTTAGATGTCCCGTGACGATGACGAATAGATGCTCCATGGATTGTTTGGAATCTCGCAGAGTTTGGCACGGTTAGCATCCATCTCCTCGAGATGTTAACAGGATAATGGAAGAGGAGAGCCAGTTGTAAATAAGATCAAGTCTTGTTACCATTGTAAGGGCGACTTTAGTAAGCTAACTTTAGGGAGAACCTTGAAAGTGCGCACGTCTTTCGTCTCTGCACGATATAGTCCCCCGCACCTCCGACATCCGGAACTATTGTCTGTGATGGCTTGACCTTGGAAATATTTTTCGTAGCACCGCGACGGCCGTAATGACGATGGCCGCGAGCCTTCTTACAGGAACGATCGATGAACGTTTATCATATGGATATCAATTAAATATTCGCTCGATTGTGCGAAACATTCGCGAATTTCAATTTGGCATATTTGTAAAAAAAAAAGCAAAATTGAAAAATACATACACAATTTTCTCATCAAAACATTCACAACATTTTTTCTCGTTTTATAGTATTTTTAAATTATAAAAATAACTTTAAATAATTATTGGACAGACAGTTTAAATGAATGTTTTATAATTTTTGGTACAAAATATTATGATCCATACATCGAAAATTTCGAAAATCAAAAAAAGTGTTTTTATTTTTATTATGTGTCATATATAATTTTAACTAATATAATTTTATTATTAATATATATTTTTTATATAGTGATAAAATAACATTTCAAAAGTCAAGATAATTGATTACTTTTTATTATTATTGGTATTTAACGAAAATTACAAAAGAGACGTCTTAAATACGACGGATTTTTACATCAAGTATTCGAACAATTACATGGATTTCATAATTATAAAGTATATAATTTATAAATAAATAATTATTTAAAATGGAAATGAAGCAAAACATATATATTATGAAATTATAATATATTAAAACATGTGATAATATTTGCCAAATTTTTATTACGACATTTTTGATGTTTAATTTAATTAACGTTATTTTTAATTGCTTT